GTGTGTGTGTGTGTGTGTGTGTGTGTGTGTGTGGGGTACGATGTTATGCAACTACCTCCTGTATGAGAGAATTCATGACTCAAAAAATGTCTGAAAAGTTAACGGGAATTTAAACACACTCACACGTCCTTTGAGGGCATTGAACAAAAAACAATGATAGTAGAGTAGCGCAATTATTGCGTAAGTCAGGACTTTATCTTATAGTATTTCATTATAGGAGGTGGCTTGATCTGAAGTGTGTGTCAACCAGCAGGGGCACAACTGAGTGATCATTAAAAAAATATTATATTAAAGAATTAAAAATGTATTTTAGAAGACATTACAGAAACTGATTCTTACACACAACTGACTAGACTATGATTGGGATAAACAACCTCCCTGCCCGTGCACACTCTCTGATGCTAGGGGACACAGGCAACAAGGTGGATGTATTGGGTGGGCATGGATCCACCCTCATCCAATCCCCACAAATCACTGACTGCTGTTTTATTTGATCAGGACAAATTAAACGCAATGCCTCTTTCATATCGATATTTCAGTCTATTTATACAAAAGGGACGCTGAGGGGACAAATGTTGAGCTGCAAAGGTAAAATAAAAGCAAAATAAGATCAAACAACAGTGATTTATGAAAATATATAAAATTAAACAAAGATTTGACTCTGAAAAACTTGACTTATCAGTTAGCACAAAATCACAGCAATTGCTCAGATTTCCTAGTATTGATAATTTAGTGCTTGTCACACACTCTGCTCTACAACACAGACCTGCTAAAATCCCAGCTGTCCATCTCCAGCTTTGGAGAAGACCAGGAAGCCTGATTTACAAAAGGTGGTGACGCCCATTTTCATTAACAGCAGTTTTCTGACGATAAACTCAGTTGTCTTTTAATTAACGGTCAACTTCATGTCACCCTTTGTGTCCCGCGTTAGTGCCCACTTCTTTGCTGCAGAAATTTAATGAGTTATTCGGTTAAATTTAACATTACTGGGTACATAAAGTGCTCATATCTGTTCAGCTGCTCTCACTCAACTGCTTTTAGCTAAACAAAGAAAGTCGCTCTGCTGTTAGCAAAAACTCCAGTTAGCTGGTTAGCGCGTGTAGTTACCAAACATTAGTTAATTCAGAGTTTGCACCGAAACGGTTTGGTGCTAAAGTCGGGTGAGAAGCTGAACAATAGAGTGCGGTTAAATGTGGCGAGCCACAGCCCTCAAACTTACCACAACAGCAGTCACCGGCTGACCTGGGACGAAAGACATACTCTCGCTGAGATTTTTTGGCTTATATAGAGAAGAAACTTTCCGCTTCTGCTGTTTTAAAAACTAAAGACAAGTCGATTCAGATAGCGGGACTACTTCCTAGACCCTTACATGAAACAGCGGAGGAAGATCCCGAGCTGGAATCCAAAGGCTTTAGGGATGATGTCACGTCGCCCCCAGGCGTTCGGGTTCGCGTGTTTTGTCTCACCTTTGTAGCCAGGGAGGGCGGTGTTTAAATGCTGGCAGTCACCTTTGTAGCCAGGGAGGGCGGTGTTTAAATGCTGGCAGTCGTCCTGTTGTGACTCTGAACAGAAATGAAAACAAATCGAACTCATTACGGGGTTTTTGCTCCTCCTTTGCTCAGGCGAACACCGACAGCTGTTTTCCTTATATCGAGTTGGCTAACAGCGACATCTCGGTCGATTCTGTTTTCTTGATCACTTAGTCGACAGGATATTCGAAAATTAATTATACTTTGATCATGGATTTTGTACGACTTTACTTTACCGGTACTTTACTTTTCACTTTATTTTTGCGCTCAATCACATAGATGACAATTTCCTCTAGAAAACAATATAACAAAAAATATTTAGAAAAACCCTCCTTATCAAGGCAAAAACCCCCAACGATTTTTATAAATATTTATGAGTGTTATATAGATGTTGATATTTGAGATTTATTGCTTTTGTTAAGCTGATTTTTTTTCTCTTACACAAGCTCATAATAATCATATAATAGCTACAGCACTCATACAGTAGCTGGTGAGTATATAGGCTACGTGTTTAAAATAGTCTCAGCTATTAGTAACTGTTTCCTTCTGATTTAAAGTAATAAAGTAAAACACGAAAATAGTAACCATTTAAAGCCAGACACCTTGACGCTGTTGTACTACTCATTGTGCAAGCATCCTGTGTGTTTTGCTGCCACTAGATGGTAGTCCGTAATGATACAAGACTTTTCTGTCAGTACAGTGTGGAGGGATGAATAAAGCATGAATCTCCCAAAGTTGATTCTGTTCATCTGGACGTAGCGTTTTGTGGGAGAAACGTTTCGTCACTCATCCAGGTGACTTCTTCAGTCTCAGCTGACTGCAGGTTCCCCCAATCTTATAAACAGTACATTTGCATAATGACTGAAACCAGCCCACTGAAGGAACAATGAGCTGGGAGGTCAGTTTCTTAATCTTAATTATGCAAATTCTCATGACCACTGACCAAAACCCACTGATTGAGCATGCATCAAGAAATAAAGAATGAACATTAGAAGTGCTTTTTTCTAGCTCTGTATTCTTTTAGCTATCTAGCTATAATTTTATTTGCCATAAAATCAAAATAATGTTTTTAAGAGCGCACTGCTGTATGTTTCCACCTGTAAAAAATGTACCAGTTTGGGTGTTCTCTCTCTCTTTCATCGTCTCTATCACACTTCTGATCAGAGATCTGCATGTGATGCAGCAGCATGCCACCTTTACTCAAAGCAGCTGTTATTTCTTATTTGCATATGCTACGCAAAAATTCCCCTGAGCATGTTTAGACTTTAATATCCTACCAAATAAGTGTATGAAAAACTTTAACCTCAATTTGAAAGCATGTATGCAAAGATGGCAGGAGATTGGCTTCAGGTAGACATCTATGTAACAAATTTATTGCATTATTCATTTTAATGTGACACCTTTTGTCTGAATAGAGTTTTGATGTATGGAACATTTAAAAAAAATAAAAATATATAATTTGGCACTAAATACATTTGCATGAAGGAGGCAGTTTAATCTATCCTATAATTTTATGCATAATAAATATTCCTTGCGACCTAAATGTTAAAGGAATAGGAATATTATGAGGCTGTGGCAGCTGTTGGCTTAGCTTAGCTTAACTTAGCATAAAGACAGAAAACAGGATGAGGCATCTATCCCGCCTCTGTTATCTTATACAACAGGGAAAAAAAGAAAACACACGGAATGATTTAATTAGTAAACTTTAAAGAAACCGATAGGCACATTTTGTGTCTAGTCTAGCTGTTTCACTGTGTTTCAGTGTCTGCATTAGCCAGTTGTAGACACATCCTAAGAATGAAAGACTGGTGCAATGCTTTGACATTAAGCCTCTCTTTAGGTGAACAAAGGTCATAAAGATAAAGGATCATAAAGGTTGGACGAATGCAGTATTTTACCAGCATGGAGCCTACCACTTCCTCTCCTTTGCCCAGATGAGGATACATGTACACCATAGGTGTCAAACTCTGGCCCGCGGGCCAAATTTGGCCCGCAGCCTAATTACATTTGGCCCGCGAAGCCATACCAAATTACTATTAGAGCTGGCCTACTGGTATTATACAGCTAATATATATATTGTTTAGTATTAAGCTTTGCTTGTTCCACATCCAGTTTTTCAGCAAAACGTGTTTGAGTCCATAAGAAAAGATTCATTCTTATATCTGGAGGAATAAATATATTTCAATAAATATTAACGTTAGCCCGCGACTTTGTTCCAGTTTTGAATTTTGGCCCACTGTGTATTTGAGTTTGACACCCCTGATGTACACATTAACCTCTTCCTTGACTTGACACACTTGTTTATTATAGTTTCAGGTGATCACTGTGACCTGTCCATATTCACTACATTTTATGCACTCTATTTTCTCATGTGGGTCCGTAGCCTGGAGCAAAAGGTGGAGGTGGCATATATTCTAAGGGTAACATGTCATCAGTCAGCTTCACAGGAGTGCAGCTGGAGGAAAGTGGTGGATCACAAAAGGTCAGATCCCTCGTGATCTCCTGGTACTCGTGCTCATCATTTTCACCCCTGTCAGTGTTAATCTCTTCGTATGAATTATCCTGCAACGGGCCCCTCTTCTTTTGGAATTTCTTCTTGAAGTTTTTTAGGTTGGTGACGACTGACGGCTTTACTTCTTGATTCCTCACTTGCTGGTTGTTGGTAGTGGGCGGTTGTTCGGAGCCTGCAAACGTGGGCAGATTCTCAGGAGCAGAGACTGTTCTGACAGCCTGATTCTGCTTCAGAGCCATGCAGTCTCGAGAAGGGACTTCGGGAGGCTGGTTGGATGGAGGATTATCACCTGTATATTTCTTCCTGGGTGTTGGGACAGGCTGCAGATGAACATAAAGACAAACTTAAGTTATTTTTTATTTTATTTTTAGATCTCTTTACTTCTTATTTTGAAAGTTAATGAAAACCTCATCTCAAATGTGCATCACCACAAATCCATCAACACGCAGGGTTACATTTACTTCTAATTTGTCAAAAATCTAGACTTCTCAGTCACTCACAGCAAGTAGCTCATTGATAACATGTTTTCAGGACCTGTCTTCAGTTTTGAGAAAATATTCATGCTACTATTTCAGTTTAAATCAAACCTGATCATCATAAGCAAATATCCTTTTACATGAAGATTTAGAGCCATACTTATTCTTTAGATTCGTATAAAAGGATGCTAACTGCAAAGAAAAGCTTTTTAGATGAAAATCTTTTAACCTTAACTTTATCAGACAATGTACGGAGATCTTTAGCTTGAACAACAGTTTTCAAGGCCATTTTTACCAGTGCTGGTGGTGGAGAGGTATTGTGTTGAAACTCATCTTCCAAAGAAGGGTAGAGTCTATTTGTTTGGCTTTTTGGAGGCAAAATTGGTGAGTTTCCCAAATAATTTGGGCGGTGAGGAAGGGCAGGTGGGATATCCTCTCTTGACCCTGGTGGATTTATGCTGGGAACCTGGAAGTTGTTTGGTGGCAAACTGGCCCTAGAGTCTGGACCTCTTGAGCAAAACAGTAGTTCTGCATAGTCAGTCTTGTCATTAGAAGCCTGAAAAGATGTAGAAAAGTTACAGCACAGATGTTTTATTGTAGTTTACACAATTAATCTTACTTAGCTTAGCTTGATTAGCTTATGCTGAGCTTATATAATGTACTAAAAAGTAAACTTGTAGTTTACAATAACATAAAAAAAAAGCATGAATGCAGTTGAGACAAGCACATTTTCTCACCTGTCCACAAGGAACAGTCAGCACTTGAGTGAAAGGCATGATGGGAGTTCTACGATGAAAGTCCACCAGGTCATGCAGAAACCGGTGATACCTGTTTTCCCCCACTATGATGTAAGAGCCATGTTCCAGTGCATCAATCATAAAGTGTCTGCAGCGGTCCTCGGCACTGATTGGTCAGTACATTAGAGTGAACAGAGTGGAGTGTCAGGGTCACTAAGTGTGTGAGCACATTACTTTAAAAATAAGGTTTCCGTCATGCTGAAAATACTCACCGATACGAGAGAGTGTAGCCGATCCTGCTCTCACTGACTCTGATGAGGAAGTAACCCGGCGGCTTAGCCATTAGCAGTTCCTCTGCTGTCCTACACAAAGGACCACAAACAAAGGCCTCTTTCATGCATGCACTTCAATCTTTACATTTTATGGTTTGGGGTTATTTATAAACCGTAGCTGTCACTAAAATGTGGGCATATTCTACAAATAGTTTTTGCATATCATATGACATCATATGACATAGTGAAAGAGTTCACACCTACAGCCAATTTAGAATCACCAGCTAGTCTAACATGCATGTCTTTGAACTGCTGAAGGAAGCCAGAGTACCCGGACAGAACCAGCACAGTCAAAGGAAGAACATGCAGACCAGCTGGTGGAGTCAAACCTGTGACTGTCTTCCTGTGCAACAGTGCTAACTGCTCTGTCACCATAATTAAAGATACTAAACTATCAAAAGTATACCAGTCCTTTTTCCAGCTATATTTAATAACTGATCTACAGCTTTAAAACATGGTAATTGTGCAATACATCCCATATAATCATCTCTCATAGTGCAATTGTACAGCACAGGTTTGGTCTCATATTAAGTGAAGTAAGCTACTTTCAGCTGTTCCCTTATTCACAAGACGTCAGGACGTCAGGTATCTTTGTTTAACGCTGTATCCCTAAAGGGATTTGAGTCTCCTTCCAGGATGGAACCATCTTTCACATGCTAGCTGAGTGCATCAACCATTACTCTATGGAATTACTGTGTAGTGACCAAAGTAAACCGGCAGAGTGAAAGATTAGTTTCAGTCTCACCGCCTAAAAATAGAGTAAAAAAAACCTATAGGAAAAGTAAATGCAAATCTCTGCTGACACATATTTGTGCCTAGATGTTTAAAGGCTATTAGATGGGCGGTTGAGAGAAAAAGAGTCTAACCCTGTGCTTTCCCAGAAATATCGGAATACCGTAGCATGTGAACGATTTTAACAGTTTAATAAACATTAATAAAGAAATGTAGCATTTACAAAATGTTCAGTCAGTTAGACAATCACATCAGGTCATGAAAACTGAAATCTTTCAGTCTTAGCTCCTCATATTTTGGACTGTTTGCCTTCCACTGGAGTAGATGGAAGGTAATGATATAGGTATGATATGATATGAGGTGAAGACGTGCGGCCTTCATCAGGGTCATTACAAAATACCAAACAGTGTGTGTTTAAATAAAACAGTATACTGCAGAAAAAAAGTCAAATGAACCAATCACACATTCACTCATATATGTAAAAAAAAAACATCAGTATTAGAAAATCTAATTAAAAACATAAAAACAAAATAGATTCTTATTCATACCTGCATGAAATAAACTCTTTAAACAAAATATCCAGAATGCTTCTGTCTTTTCCCTGATAAAGTTCATATTACAGCCTCTTTGACCGGGCTTAATGGTTTCAATGCCTATAAAAAATAAAGGCAAGCTGCAATGTTTTTCATAAAATGTTTTGCAACAGGACTGGTTAAATTATTCCTCTTTGTACAACTTAAATGTTCATTAATTTTCTCTTTCAGGGATGTTTCTCCTATAGATGTTGCATTACATAGGCACTGTGTCATATAGACCACATTTTTAGTTTTGCAAGTGATGAAGCCTTTAACATTGATGATGTTGCCACTAATGGTTTTACATTTTTATTGTACTAGCAATTTATGCAAGACCCACATTTAGAATGACCTTGTAGTTTATGAGTTATCAGGGTTGTTTCTGGGGTTGAAGGGTCCTGGAAAGCTGGAATAACCTAATGTTCTTCCCTCTTTTATAATGATAATGCGAGCACAATTATATATCTCATAAACTTACTTTCTGGAAATGATCCCATGAAACCACTCCGGGACTACACCGTTCCTGATGACAGACTGGAGCTGAGACTCTGTGAACCAGGTGTAAGGATCACGTTGTCCCTGAAACGTCTGACTTCCCTCCATCCTCCTGCGTAATGGTTCATTTAATCGACAGTTATGGCTAATGGAAAAGTCACTGAGCACAAAGACCTGCAAATGAAGAAGTTAGTATATTTAGTCTGTACATTAACTACGCACCTACAGTACAGACCACATACAGGTATGAAAGCTGGGTGTTAATATGCATTTTAAATATTCATTGTTCCTGTTTCAGGTGAAGTGCTCTGTGATGTCTATCAACAGTTCCTCAGGTGAATTATTATTAGTTCCCGTGCATTTTAACAATCTCAAACATAATGCAGTTTTCCTTTAAAATGGCAAAGAGCTAAAGGATGGAGTCTACTCACTAATACCTTTGTTTACAGCAGTACCTGTTGTAAGACTTTATCAATTATATTTGTGAATTCATCTTAAATTTGCAATATGAACACATAATTCATTACAGAATACTGATTTTGTGAATAAAACTCAATAATGTTGCTTCTGGCGTCAAATACAAACTCATAGGAAAAGTTACTCACCCTGTCTGGCAGCTCCGAGATAGAATGACACGGCTGAGCTCGCGCACCTGAAAAAACCTGTCTGGGGGCGGGGGCGGGGCCAAAACCCTACTCGATCCAAGTAGAATACAGTAAATTTTTAAGTACAGTAGAATAGTTTTTTTAAGAGACACATAGAAAACACTGAATAACATCACTAAATAAGAAATTAAATTATTCAGATACTCCACATACGTTAAGGCTGAAGTTGCATGTCTTGATTGTATCTGTGGCTGTATGCACACAAGCACACATGCGCAAAGCTGTGGAGAAAATGACCTTCAAGTGATTGTTCTGACTTAACAGATTGGAGATAAAACACAAGTGAAAGGAGAGGCGACAGTCTGAGTGATTTTAAGCAACAACAACAAAAAACCCTCAAAAGACTTTATCAGTACTTTCCAGCTCTCCCACGTTACTCCAGGGCCAGATTTTTACAGAGTGCCGAAAAACAATTTACATCTGGGAAACTTCCTAGACGTCACTGACGACATGCAGTACGTCCGCATCCCACAGCATTTTATGTAACTTATCATTAGTAAAAACACATTTTTTTTATATGCAGTGCATGATATACAGGTGAGCATCTTTTAAAGAAAAATAGATCCTGCTTTCAGGCATAATAGGTGACTTATTGACTGATTTATGATTCAATAAAAAAAAAATTCCTGTAATATCGACATCCGCTTCAGAGAAAATCCACCGCCCACCTGACGATTGTTAAAAAGAAAAAAGTCAGAACAAAGGTCAAAGTCTTTCTGGTGTGAAGCAGAAGTGTTGCGCTCCAGTGCAAATCTTTCTGCAGGGCTCTTCTCCATTTATACACAAAGTGCCCCCACCTACGCACTCCACCTCCTCCACAATTTTATGAAAAATACGTTTTGGGTTTTTTTTTGTTTGTTTTTTCAAACCTTGGTGAAGAAAGTTATCAGGGAACCACTAATGCTCATATGTCTTCTCCTCAAGCAAACAGGCCCCTATTGTACACCTTAAAGCTTCCTTAAACTGCCAACTACTGATAGAGAAGAAAATAAACCAGTGCCACATCAGAGAGGAGAACGGGGCAGGGAGAAGTAGCCTCAGTCTAATCATGGTTCCATCAGCTGACTAAAGTGAAAGCTGCAGCTCAGACTGCGGGCATATTCTTTCCCTGTTTGTAAGGCTGAGGAGGAAGTGCACGAGTACAATACGCTTGCTTACAGAGGGTGTGGAATAGATGGCATGCTGACTCCAGAAATCTCCCCATTTGTACAGAAATAATCAAGTCTCTCAAGATCCCCGTGATAATATGAGGCGATAGACTGCTCTGCAGTTTTTCTGCCACTTTGATGCCGTAAGCTACACATTTGCATATTACCATGTGGTAGAGTGGCAGATTCATTTGCAACGCAAAACTCTACATCACGGATGGGAAAACATCAATAAATAGATTTCAGAGAAACTGGATTATAGGAACCAAAATTTTCGATTTGTACTGGTGTCATGGTGCAACCAGTTAACCAATTGATGATATATGATGACATATACAGTGTATATATATTAATTCTGTTTATGGGACTGTGCTCTGGATCTGTTGGAGCCACTTACCCAGTTTGGGGTCAATGCTGAGGTATTTACTTCAGTGTACTCATGGATGTTTGCTGTTTCATCCAGGATGGTGGTTCTGATACTCACTAGTCCTCGGCCGTCCTTCTTAGCAGACAGTCTCAGGGTGCTGGAATTCCATCTCATCCTTTAGCCAGCTGATTATCCGAGTCAGGCATCTGACTGCTCAGGACTTGCTTACTTTCTGCAGGTGTTTGGTGGTTGCGGCTTTCCTAGCAGCCTCTTCGTGATTCCCACTTGCCTGTGGGATTCCCAGGTACTTGTAGCTGTCCTCGGTGTCGTCGTCTGGTAGTGCAGTCCTCTCAGTTCTAACCATCTTCCCTCTCTTTATTACACTTTTCCAGCCTGAATGACATTGCAATATGTCTCACTTACTCCTGGCATACAGCTTGATGTAGAGGATAACAATTGTGCCATCCTGTAGTCGGTATCCGTAGCAAGTCATGTTAATGATCTAGCCTGGGCACTTCAGGCCTATGCAGAACAGCAGTGGGGACAGCATCTGTCAGTTTGAACAGGTCATCTTGACCTTGACTACATGCCTAAATGCACTGAGGTGCTGCCATGTGATTGGTTAGATGCATCAACAACCAGCTGAACAGGTGTACCTACACAATTAAAGAAAAACATCAAGAGTACTTGTCCTGCAAATGTTTTGTGTTTTTGCACAGAAAAACATACTGGACACATTTAAGAATCTCATTTTTAATAAATCATCAAAAGTACACATATCTACAAAAAGTGTAGATCAATAAGATTTATGAAACTACAGTACAATCATTGTAGATCTTATTTACAATTGCTGAATTATTTACTTTATTCCACATGAAGCCCATCAGTAATCAGCAAAGAAAGCCAATTGTAGTTCAGGAATGCTTAAGATATGTGAACACAGAACTGTCACATTTGCAAAAGGGAGAGAATTACAGAATAAAGCAACGGCAGACTGTAGCTCACAATGCTGGATTTTCATCAAGCTGTGAACTGATTTTAACTGAGAGTGATTTTAAGAAACAGCCGAAACAAATTTAAACCAGCAAAGCCGACATTTCCTTAAATCCACAGGAAAACCGTTTTGTTACAGGTTTGATTGGATGACTCTTCAGCACCACTTCAAAGGACCAGCTTATCTGGCCTTTGACGTGATTTGCTCAATTTCCTATTTTTTGTCCTCTGATGAGCTCTCGATGTAATTGCATGGAGTGACAGCAGAAAATAATAAAACAAGATCAAGGATCCTCTGCACAATTCTAATCTCAAATAAAGCTCATTAAGTCAACTGTGCAAAGCCTTTTGAGGTTTCCTACGCACCAAGAATGCATAGATTAGATGGTCATAATACTGGACCAAAACAACACAGGAGGAGAGGTGGAAGAAGGTGGTTTCCAAAAGCATCAGAATCTACGCAAATGCATAAACAACAAAAGAAAAAGTTCAATCACTGAGTGGGAATGTTGTGAAAACAAAAAGAAAATCTCTAGATTTCTGGTTTCAGTGCTCAGATGTTTTAAAGAAGCCCAGAGAGGCTCTGTGGAAATCTTGTGCATGCAAATTCTTTGCTTTCAGTTAAGACTTGCAATAAACACAGACAATAAATGTTAAGAAATCTTTTTTTCCCCAAAACAGAAAGAAAAAGGAAGAAAAGTGCATAATCAAGAAGAACATAAAAGGGCACTTTGTCATTTTGGTGCTATGATTTCTTTCACTCCATAAATACTGCTACAGCACAGCACATATCCAAGGCCCAGGAAACAGTTGTGTTTATGTTCCCCCATTGGAACAGACAACCGGAACAAGTACAAATGCATAAAACCACACTTTCACCATTGCTGTGACTCTTTCTGCTGTGTAGCTGAAGTTGCCTCCAGGTGGTCAGTGTAGGTATTGCTAAAACGGTGTGGAAAGCAACATCAAAAAGGAGCATGTGTGTGCCCTTAAATTACCCCCCCTTCTAAAAACCCAACCCTACTGCAGACATGTGAACACAAGAGAAAAATCAGGGCTCTTTCATACATTACATTGCACATTAAAGAGGACTGGAATGTTTTAGCAGAAGACACGAGAAGAAAGGACACGTAAACCCCACTGTGGATATGATGAGTGACATGTGCTGGCATTACTCTGTAATACGGTGAATCATAATCAATTATATATATATATATATATATTTACACGATGCATTTACATAGATGTGGACATTAAGGAAAGAGCTAGACCACCCTGTCAGGACAAATATCTAGTATAATATCTTGTGTGTGTGGGGGGGGGATTGTACGCATCACTTTGGAAGCACAGGTGACAATCGAAATATTATAAAAACACATGTGTAATACACGTATTCTTTAAGTATAATCTGGTCTTTTGTTGGTCATAAGGATCAAATACAGCACTGCCTAAAGGTTTGTGGTGACTGGGGACCGTCCTTAAGGAAAAGGATATTTGTTTTTAATGTAATAGCGCATTAAATTAATGATAAATGGAATTATTCATCAGGAACCATCACTGAGCTTTAATGGAAGATCAAGCATACATACCCTGTTTTCAGCAACCATCGCCTCTGGCTTCGAATGTTGCATCGTGTCACCTAACGCAAGTTTATCATGTAAGAAGCTGAAGAATGCTGTGCTGACTAAAGAAGCAAACAATGCGGCTAGTTCAGCGTCTGGAGAATCAGCCTTTGTGTGTTGGATTAAAGGCTCAAAACGCACCTGAAAAAGTTATATTCTTGATCAAAGAAATGCAACAGCACTTCCTACTCACTTCAAAACTAGTCTAGACAAATACATTCTTTTAAAAAGCTGCCAGATGAGGAACTGTGAGGCGATTCTGTGTGTTTCTCAGACTTGTCCTATTGTTGTTCAGCTGGGCACTGGGGTCTCCCACTTCTCTTTCTCCTCTGGTTAGTGCTCTTCTGTGCACAGAGTTTTGGCAATGTTGTACATGCAACGTCCTTAATCTCTAAGAAGAAGAATACTTTTTCTTTTTTTTGTATCCAACCCATATGGTATTTAGCTGTGCACAATCAGCTTTTGAACATGATAAACTCAGGAAATGGCTGCTTAAAAAATTAGCCTCTCTAGTTACGTAGATATTAAAACTCTCTCAAATTTGATGAACGAATCCCTTAATTATTATCCGTCACTGCCGAAAGGTTGGATCTTTCTTAGTATTTAAGGACGTGACCGTTAAGAATCTTTCACTCTTGTGCCTACACTGAAAATATTAATTAATGTGGGGTGGGGGAGAAAAAAAAGAAATGAGATTAAATATGTAACAGAGCCCACAGCAGTTAGATCCACAGGTATTAAAGGAAGACTGGTAAACCAAGGCGGAGGGGGGGGTAGACTTTTCCTAATTACATAATGACGGGACAAATCAGAAGG